CAGTTTATGAATACGATGTTGCCTTTTTCTTTTTCTCTTTTTTTTTTTGGGTCTGGTCGTGGGGCCTGAATTCTGGGCCTGGGAGCTGTCCCTCAGCTCTTTTAGCTCAAAGCTAGCGCTCTACCACTTGAGCCACAGCGCCACTTCCGGCTTTTTTCTTTTTGCTTATGTGGTATTGGGGAATCGAACCCAGGGCCTCATGCATGCAAGGCAAGCGTTCTACCACTGAGCCACCTTCCCAGCCTCAGGGCCTTGCATTCTTACTTGGCTTTTTCTGTTCAAGGTGGATGCTTTACTGGGCCATACCTCCACTTCCAGTTTTTTTTAGGTTAATTAGAGTTAAGAGTCTTAGACTTTTCTTCTCAGGCAAGTTTGGAACCACAATCAGATCTCAGCCTTCTGACTAGCTAGGCTTATATATGTGAGCCACCAGTGTTAGGCATAAATTTATTCTTTTGAATTATCTTTAAATAGTTATACAGAGGGGTTTCAATGCAACGTGTCAGTTTACGAGTATAATGTACCTTGATCAATATGACTTAGCTTTTATATTCTTTTGTCTAGCTTCTTTTTTTTTTTTTTTTTTCCGGTCGTGGGGCCTGAACTCTGGGCCTGGGCGCTGTCCCTCAGCTCTTCAGCTGTAGACTAGCGCTCTACCACTTGAGCCTCAATCCCACTTCCGGATTTTTCTGCTTATGTGGTGCTGAAGAATCGAACTCAGGCCTTCATGCATGCAAGGCAAGCACTCTACCGCTGAGGCACCTTCCCAGCCCCTTGTCTAGCTTCTTGAGTGGGTTTTTTTTTCTATCTTAAATTATAAGCTCATCTATCTTTTTTACTTTCTCAAACATTAGTACTGTTGCATGGTTATCATTGATAGGCAGGGATTCTGAATCATGGTGTAAAAGGGATTTCTTTTTTTCAGTTATGGGGCTTTAACTCTGGGCCAGAGCACCATCCCTGAGCTGTTCAGCTCTACCACTTGTGCCACAGCGCCACTTCCAGTTTTTTGGTGGCTAATTGGAGATAAGAGTCTCGTGGATGTTCCTGCCTGGGCTGGCTTTGAACCACGATCCTCAGATCTCAGCCTCCTGAGTAGCTAGGATTACAGGTGTGAGCCACCAGCACCCAGCTAAAAGGGATATTTTTAAATTTTTTTATTTTATTGTTAAGAGATTGTATGGAGGGGTTATAGTTACATGAGTAAGGCAATGAGTACATTACTTGTCTATCATTGTTACCCCTTCCCTTCCTTGTTGTTTTCTCACTATCCCTCCTCCTCCCCTGCTCCCACAGGATTTTTTTTTTAATTATAGTTTTTGCAGTGCTGTTTTTTAAATGCAGGGCCTCATGTCTACTATGCAAACACTTTATCACTAGGTTATATCCTGAACCTTGGGATTTGTTTGTTTGTTTTTGTTTTTTTGTGTAACAGGGATTTGCTACATAGCTCAGGTTGGCCTTGAATTCTAGATCTTCCTTCCTCTACCTCCTAAGTATTGGCATTGCAAGCATGTATTCCCATGCTTAGAAAAATTTAAAATAACAACTAATGTCTGGGTTAGTCCTAATGGCTTGAAAACTCCAGTGGTGTTTCCTCACTAAGTAAATTCTCTGCATGGCATATCTTTTTTTAGAATTTACCAGTCTCATCATTTTTCCTAGTAGTAGTTACTAGTGAACATTTACTGAGCAAATATTAAGCATTCTATGCATATGTTTCACTATCAGCACTGTATGGTAATTCTTAATGTTTAAAGCATTTATATGAAAGCCAAGCAGGACTAGAAACAATTCAGATTTTTATCGGGTAGTTTTACTGAACACACTTAGATTCTGTTGTCATATAACAGGTATGGTGGCGAAGCACAGATGAGATTTCCAGCTACTCTCCCAACTCCCAGTACTGTTGGTCCCATCTTGGGGTCACCTGTCTATTCTAGTGAGTATGAAATGCTGAAATAAACGTTTGTAATGGTTTGTTTTTATTGAAACTCTATGGCTTATTCTGCTTAGTAAAGTTTCTTGGTTTTATTCTGCTGCTGCATTATTGAGTAAGTGATTTTAACAAACACTTGGGACTCTTAAAAGTGATAATATTAATATTTAAACCTTAATATATACTAGGAAGCATAACCTGTGGTTAAGTGGTCCTCATTCAGGGGGAAAGAGATGAAGAATTCAGTGTCAAGAGACTCTCCTAGGGGATGGGAAGGTGGCTCAGTGGTAGAGTGCTTGCCTCGCATCAATGAGGCCTTAGGTTTGATTCCTCAGCGGCACATAAACAGAAAAAGCTGGAAGTGGCGCTGTGGCTCAAGTGGTAGAGTGCTAGCCTTGAACTGAAGAGCTGAGGGACAGAACCCAGGCCCAGAGTTCAAGCCTACACCAACAAAAACAAAAAAACAAACAAAAAAACCTCCTACACATGTTTTCCAAAACTGCAATTATTAGTTAGTGGTAAATAAATGAGTCATTGTATGTTTCATATGTGATGCCACTCTTCACTCAGGCTTTTAAACAAATTCTTAATTTGATCAGATTGAAAAGATTGGAGGTAATTTTAAATGTTTCTTGCTGGAAAAGTTTTATCTGTATTATTAAAATTAAAGTGAAGCCTCTTGTAGTTGTTTTAAGAAGGAATTGAAGCCGGGCGCTGGTGGCTCACACCTGTAATCCTAGCTACTCAGGAGGCTGAGATCTGAGGATCGCGGTTCAAAGCCAGCCCAGGCAGGAGAGACCATGAGACTCCTATCTCCAATAAATCACTAGAAAACTGGAAGTGGCGCTGTAGCTCAAGTGGTAGAGCGCTCACCTTGAGCTGAAGAGCTGAGGGACAGCCCCCAGGCCCAGAGTTCAAGCCCCATGGATGACCAAAAAAAAAAAAAAAAAGGAATTGAAGGTGATGGGGGTGGGTTTGTTTGATCATCTATGTAAGGAAATTTCACAAAGAATATATGCTTGTAAATCGTAAATCTTTATATGCTTCTTCCTTTTTTTAGGTTCTCCTGTTCCTAGTAGTCCCTATCCAAACCCATCCTTTTTAGGAACACCATCTCATGGTACTTCTTTACTTTGTTTTGTTGTGTTACTGTTGTTGTTGTTATTATTATTATTATTACTACTACTGTTCTTCTTTTTGAGGAGCTAGCTATATCATTTATCCTTAAATTTATGTTATAAATTATAGGTTAATTTGCCTATTCCTTTACTGGACGTAATAGAAGTAAATCTGAAGAAGTGACACTGATCAAGGTCCATTGTACTCATAAACTGATGTGTTGAAACTTCTTTCCACAAATACTTAAAGCTAATAAAAAAAGAACTGATATCTTAATAAATACTGGCATTTGGACATCATTACTATCCTTTATTTAGGACTTCACTAATAGTGTGCCTAGAAGTTCCCTACTTGGGTATCAGGATTTAACTGGACCCTGAGATTAGTGTAATTAGTTGTTTTACTCCAGCTTTAGGAGCATCAATTCCATTTTTTCCTTTCCATTTCATTCTGTATTGCAAACACTTGTAAGTCTACTTCTTACATTGAAAAACAAATTAAAATATTTCATTATTTTAAGAAATATTCATACTTTCATGTCAGATGTACAACCAACTTGTATTGGGAATTTTGAATTTTTAGTATTAAGCGATTTATGTTTATGTCTATTTAAGGTATACAGCCTTCAGCCATGTCAACTCCATTAGGCACCATGGGAAACCCAGCAACTCAGACCACAGGTATGAGTTGTGTGACTGGACCAGAGATTGTGTTCTCAGGAAAACACAATGGTATTTGCATTTACTTTTCTCGAATTATAGGGTAAGTTTTTTGGGGCTTTTTACTTTAAAAAAGAAATTATGACATATTTAATTGTTGCTCACTTTGTCCCATTTTTAGCTCTTAATATGAGACATTTATTCCTATTAAATTTTACATTTGACTCTTTTATCTATAAATTGCTTTTATCGGGCTGGGAAGGTGGCTCAGTGGTAGAGTGCTTACCTTGCATTCATGAGGCCCTGGGTTCGATTCCTCAGCACCACATAAGCAGAAAAAAAAAACCGGAAGTGGCACTGTGGTTCAAGTGGTAGAATGCTACCCTTGAGCTGAAGAGCTGAGGGAAAGCACCCAGGCCCAGAGTTCAGGCCCATGACTGGACTCCCCGCCACAAAAAAAAATTACTTTTATCATTTCAGCCTTTATATTTATTGCTGTGTCTTACTTCTGTGTGTCGTCAGAATATTTCTATATAAATATTAATTATACAGCATTATATACCACTCTATGATTCAGTGGGATTTCGAGATCCACTGGACAGTTCTGGCTATGAGGTAAAGAATTGTTTATCTTGGCAACTGTTGAGATATTTAAAGGAATGAGGATTGGCTGATTTGGAATGGCCTCAGCCAAGGAGACAGCTGCATTGTTCTCAATGTGGTCTCATTCTCCAACAGGCCAGCCAAGGATTTTTCATGTGCTAGTTCTAGATGTATGCTTTTATATCATTTCCTTAGAAATGTGAAACATTGCAGAACCCCTATCTAAATTTATGAGGGTTGTTTCATTATATATTCTCTATTCATAATTTATTTACTTATATTCTCTTGATTTTTTTATTATCTAAAATAACTTAGGTATACTTAGTTTGAATTTTTTCTTATTTTCCATTTTTGCTGGTAACATAGTAAATGTTAAGCAATCTCTAACTTTCAAAAACTAAATAGGGCTGGGAAAGTGGTTCAGTGGTAGAGTGCTTGCCTTGCATGCATGAGGCCCCGGGTTCGATTCCTCAGTTCCACATAAGCAAAAAGAAAAAAAAAGCCAGAAGTGGCCCTGTGGCTCAAGTGGTAGAGTTCTAGCCTTGAGCTGAAGAGCTGAGGGAGAGCGCCCAGGCCCAGAGTTCAGGACCACAACTGGACCTCCCCCCCAAAAAAAAGAAAAGAAAAAAAAAACTAAATAAAGGGGCTGGGAAGGTGGCTCAGTGGTAGAGTGCTTGCCTTGCATGCATGACGCCCTCGGTTTGATTCCTTAGTACCACATAAGCAGAAAAAGCCAAAAGTGGTACTGTGGCTCAAGTGGTAGAGCACTAGCCTTGAGCTGAAGAGCTGAGGAACAGCGCCCAGGCCAACAAAAATTCCACTAAATAAAGATCAGAGGTGGTTATTCATACCTTTTATCTCAGCTATTTGGTGGTGCACATTAGAAGTATCATAACTTGAAGTCCTCTCTGGCAAAAATTAGCAAGACTGCAATTCTGTCAATGAACCTGGGATGATGGGTATATGTCTGTAATTTTAGCTACTTGGAGGTACAGGAAGTTCTTGGTCAAAATATAAGACCCTACCCCAAAAATAAACTGAAGCAAAAAATGGTTGGATGTGATGACTAAAGTTGTAGAACATCTGCCTAGCAGGTGCAAGGCCCTCAACTAAAATCATAGTAATGAACAGGGGAAAAGCCATTATGCTTCTACAGAGAATTGAACATATATTCACATTAAAACATTTTTTCCAGAAATATTTGGGATGCTAGCTTAGTCGTGGAGAGAATATTCAAGAGTGGCAATAAAGAGATCACTGCAGTAAGTGTATATAAAATTACCTCGTTTGCATGTAATCAGAAGTTTATTTATGTCTCGATTATCCCATTTCTTGATTCTGTAAATAAGATGCAATGATTCTTTTATGTAGATGTTTGTGATCTTGTCCATTAAACTACCTACCCTGGTTTAAGTCTTGTCTCTATCACACATTAACTACCTTATGCTGAATGATTTTTGTTTTTTTTGGGTCCGGTCGTGGGCCTGAACTCTGGGCCTGGGTGCTGTCCCTCAGCTCTTCAGCTCAAGGCTAACACTCTACCACTTGAGCCACAGCGCCACTTCCGGCTTTTTGTTTATGATGTGCTGAGGAATCGAACCCAGCGCCTCGAGCATGCAAGGCAAGTGCTCTACCACTGAGCCACCTTCCCAGCCCCCTTTTTTTTTTTGTCGGCCATGGGGCTTGAACTCTGGGCCTGGGCGCTGTCCCTCAGCTCTTCAGCTCAAGGCGAGCAGCGCCACTTCCCTGAATGATTTTTTTTTTTTTTTAAGATTTTACCACTTGATAACTTCCTGCAAAATGAGATGAATGTCTCCTTCATAAAGATGTTCTATGATTTATTGTTTTTCCTTTTGTTAGTATTCATTATAGCTCCATAAACCCAGAACTAATTTCCTTGCATTGAACTGGGAAGTACCAGGTGCTTTAAGAAAACCATTTTGTAGAATTTTGCTTTCACAGATTCCAGTAGATTTCCTTAAAAATCTGGAATATTAGCCTGGCATCAGCACTTCACACCTGTGATTCTTGCTATTTAAGATGCTGAGACCTGGAGGATTGAACTTTAAAGCCAGCCTGTGAGGTAGAAGCACCATCTATGAGTTAGAAAGCCTAAAACAAGGCCCTCATATTGGCAACAAAAAAGAAAAAAACTTGTTAACACAATTTTTTTTGGGGGGGGGTCCGGTCATGGGATCTGAACTCTGGGCCTGGGCCCTCAGCACTTCAGCTCAAGGCTAGCGCTCTACCATTTGAGCCACAGTGCCACTTCCGGCTATTCTGCTTATGTGGTGCTGAGGAATTGAACCTAGGGCCTCATGCATGCGAGGAAAATACTCTACCACTGAGCCAACTTCCCAGCCCCATTAACACAATTTTTATTTAAGGCTTTTTTCTCTTTAAATGGAAAGATACCAAATGTCTGTCCTCTTGCTCTCCTTCCTCTATTCCTTTCTTTTGTTCATCCATTGCCTTAGTCTTTCATTTTTTGAGATAAAATTTCACTGCAAATTGTGAGTTGGCCTAGAGCTTGGGATACTCCTGTTTTTACCTCTTGAGTTCTGGAATTGAGTTTCTGGGACAACACACCTGGCCCAAATGTCTTTTTAAAAAGCCAGAGGGTTCTAGTGGCTCACATCTGCAAATCCTAGCTACTCGGGAAGCTGAGATCTATGGATTGTGGTTCAAAGCCAGCCCAACTAGGAAAGCTCATGAGACAAGACCTTGAGAAGCTGGAAGTAGGAGCTGTGGCTCAAGTGGTAGAGTGCCAGCCTTGAGTGAAAAAAAATCTAAGGGACAGTACCCAGGCCCTTAGTTCAAACCTGTGTACTGGCCCCCAAAAGGTAAAAGTTTGCATTTCTAAGAAGAAGTACACATTTTACCTATTGTAGCATTTAACTGGCAGAACTAATGGACAGCAATGAAAAATAATTTGTTATCTTAGAGATGGGATGACTAATAGCTAGACAAGGACATTAATGAACTTTGTGTGTGTGTACATGTGTGCATGTGCTGTTCAGTGGCTTGAATTTAGGGATGCTATTCCTAAGCTTTTTTGCTCAAGACTAAGACTATCACTTTGAGCCATAGCTCTGCTTCTGGCTTTCTTGATAATTGTTGATAAGGTTCTTATGGGCTTTCCTGCCTGAGCTGGCCTCGAACTATTATCTCAGCCTCTTGAGTAGCTAGGATTACAGGCATGAGTCACCAGGACCTGGCTAAGAAATTTATTTGCTATATTTCATCTGTCTGGTGGACATAAACTTGAAAAGTAATCAGGATGTTCTGAACCTTTGTGTTTTACTATAGGCAAATTATACATCAGCCTTATAAAAGTAGGAGGGGAGGGTGGAAGATACTGGAATCACTCATCGTTCTTTATGGTGATCAACACAGTATGAATTGATATAATAAAATGCTCAATCTGTACTATTTCTAAAGATAGCACACCTCAAAATTGTATTTACTCAGAACCATATGGACTATCTCCTTTTCACATGTATACTTTGTCAATGTTTTAAAGCTTTGAAAAACCTTCTATTCTCACAGATTGAAAGTAGTGTACCTTGCCAACTGCTGGAGTCAGTGCTACAAGAACTAAAGGGTTTACAAGAGTTCCTCGACAGAAATTCCCAGTTTGCTGGAGGGCCATTAGGAAATCCAAAGTAAGGATTAAAAAGAAAATGCTTCCTAATATGTTGACTTTTTATAATCACCCTTTTAAGGTGTATAATTTTGTAAGTTATATAGTAAGTTATGTAACCATCACCATTATTTAATTCCAGAGGAGTCAGTCATTCCTTTTCCTCTATCCCAGTCCCTGGCAGCCATTTTGTCTACTTGCTGTTAAAAAATGGAGCTACCCCTTTCCAATACTTGGTCTAAATGGGAAGAGGCAATTACAACTTTTATCTGACTTCTTTCTCTTACTATAATGTTAAAAAAAAAAAAGATCCATCTATTCTTACTTTCTTTAGTTTTTTTCAACATGAATAAAGGAGATTAAAAATCTTTTCTACATCTTAAGAGATAAAATACTGTATTAAAAAAATACAGTTGTGGGCTGGGAAGTTGGCTCAGTGGTAGAGTGCTTGCCTTGCATGCCTGAGGCCCTGGGTTCGATTCCTCAGCACCATATAAGCAAAAAGAAAAAAAAAAGCCAGAAGTGGCGCTGTGGCTCAAGTGGTAGAGTGCTAGCCTTGAGCTGAAGAGCTGAGGGACAGCACTCAGGCCCAGAGTTCAGGCCCCACAACTGGACCAAAAAAAAAGAATAACGAATATTAGCTGGGAAGGTGGCTCAGTGGTAGAGGACTTGCCTTGCATGCCTGAGGCCCTCGATTTGATTCCTCAGTACCACATAAGCAAAAAGAAAAAAGCCAGAAGTGGTGCTGTGGCTCAAGTGGTAGAGTGCTAGCCTTGAGCTGAAGAGCTGAGGGACCACGTTCAGGCCCCATGACTGGACCCCCCCCCCAAAAAAAAAAAGGCAAATAGTAAAAAAATACAGTTGTAAGGGCTGGGAATGTGGCTCAGTGGTAGAGCGCTTGCCTTGCATGCATGAGGCCCTGGGTTTAATTCCTCAGTACCACATAAGCAAAAAGAAAAAAAAAAGCCAGAAGTGGCGCTGTGGTTCAAGAGGTAGAGTGCTAGCCTTGAGCTGTAGAGCTGAGGGACAGCGCCCAGACCCAGAGTTCAGGCCCCACGACCAGACCCAAAAAAAAGAAAAAAAAAATACAGTTGTAGTTGTAAATATGTCCTGGTTCTGACCAACCCTAGAATGCCTGAAATACTAGTTCCATAAAATTCACTCATTTAAATGTTTAATTCAGTAACTGTAAATATATAGATCAACTTTTAGAACATTTTTAGTATCTAGAAGAAAAACTTCTTGTTTATCTGGTATCAGTCCTTTCACACCATCTCCAGTCCCAGAAAGAAGTTATTCATTTATGTGTATGGATTTACCTGTTCTTGATATTTTATAATCAATCGTATTTACTCTGGCTTCTTTGACTTACCCTGTTTTTTGAGGGATCATGTTTGAAAATTATTTTGTAACATATACTGGTACTTTATTCCTTTTTATTTTCTGACAGCTTTGGAATTTTAAGAACATAGACCACACATCTCCCCCAACTCCTCCCATTCTAAGTCCCTCTGTGCTCAAGGCTAGCACTCTACCACTTGAGCCACAGTGCCATTTTTATGTGGTACTGAGGAACTGAACCCAAGACTCTGTGCACTCTACCACTAGGCCACATTCCTAGCTCCCACTTACATATTTTTATGTACTATTTTTTTTGTATACATGATTGAATTCTGTGGTTACAATATCCATTGTAATATAGTGCAGCTGTTAACTATATAACCATATTTGGTGATTTCTTTTCAGTACTACTACCAAAGTGCAGCAAAGACTGATAGGATTCATGCGTCCTGAAAATGGAAATACTCAGCAAATGCAACAGGAGTTGCAGAGGAAGTTCCATGGTAAATTCTTCTTCTGATTATACTTGTACAGGACCCTCTGAAGAGTTTCATTACTTGAAGCGCTGACCCTGAGCTCTTCAGCTCAAGGCAAGCACTCTACCACCTGAGCCACAGCACCACTTCCATCTTTTTCTGTGTATGTGGTGCTGAGCAGTTGAACCCAGGGCCTCATGCATACAAAGCAAGCACTCTACCTCTGAGCCAACTTCCCAGCCCCCTTGAATGGGAAACAATAGAAGGTTCTTAGTAAGATTTAGTTTCTGTGATAACACAAGGCTTTAATTAAAGTATCATTAGTATAATAGAGAAAATATGAAAATAATTTATATTCCTTTTTTAGCTCATAGATTTTTGTCTCTTTACTGCTAGGAAACATGATTTTCATTGTGATTGCTTTTCCTTGTGATGACATAAATGCCTCATAACACTGTTAAAGTGCACAGTTCAGTAAATGTCTTGTATTTTGAATAGTTAATAATCTCCAGTACTCTTCCCATCTTTTGGGTTTTGTTGCTCTATGTTCTTGTGCTTTTACTTTTGGAGCCCAGTATTTCTGATTGGTAGAATTTCTTTCATTCCTAAATAGCCACTCATTTGCATTTGTCCTAAATTACTTTCTCCCCTTACTACTGGCCATAGTTTTCTATATATCATTTTGCAAATCCTTCTTTCTGAACTGCTAATGGTACATTAATAAACCTTAAGATTATTACCAGGTGAGAATTGGTACAAATTTAAGTATTCCTGTTGCTGGTAATTTATACTTTGAGCCATTTTGAAGAGCAATCTTGTTGCTGGTAATTTATACTTTGAGCCATTTTGAAGAATAGTTTTGTTATCTCTACTAAAAGCTGAAAAATACAGGCACATGATCTGTCTCTTTGTTTTTATTTGGTTGTACTGTTGTACTGTACTGTTCAGTGTTGTGCGTTGTAGGCAGGTGCTCTACCACTTAACCCAAGCCTATAGCCCCTTTTGCTTTTTTTTTTAATGTTTCAGGTATTGTCTCAGTTTTGCCCAGGTTTGCCTTAAACTTCTATCCTTTCATATCTGCCTCCCTCATAAATTGGGGGTTATATAGAAATGAATCACCATGCCCCACCTCTAAATGTATGCTCTTAAAGCCAACCATCTTTCATGTGATTTTCTTTCTTTTTTTTTCTTTCGGTGGTGGGGCTTGAACTCTGGGCCTACGCACTGTCCATGAACTCTTCAACTCAAGGCAAGTGGTCTACCATTTGAGCCACAGTATCACTTCTGGTTTCTAGTGGTTAATTGGAAATAAAAGTTTCACAGACTTTCCTGCCTGGGCTGGCTTTGAATCCTGATCCTCATATCTCAGCCTTCTGAGTAGCTAGGATTACAGGCATAAGCCACTGGCACCCACTCTCACGTCATTTTCATCAAACATCCTTCCCCACAATAGTAATATATTCATTTTTTTTTTTTTTTTGTCGGCTGTGGGGCTTGAACTCTGGGCCTGGGTGCTGTCCCTCAGCTCTTCAGCTCAAGGCCTGCGCTCTACCACTTGAGCCACAGCGCCACTTCTGCTACCACTTGAGCCACAGCGCCACTTCTGGCTTTTTTCTTTTTTGCTTATGTGGTGCTGAGGAGTTGAACCGAGGGCCTCATGCATGCAAGGCAAGCGCTCTACCACTGAGCCAACTTCCCAGCCCCTCACGCCTTTTAAATTCTATTACCTATATCCTCTTTTAAAAAAAATTCTACTTTCTACATAAGAGGATAGAACAAAAGCTGTCATTATAATGAATTGATTTCATGACCTTTCAATGAGTATTATAATTTCAGGGTTGAGAAACAGTCCTGGAGAAACATTACTGTACCTTTAGCTAGTCCCCCTTCACACTTATAATGTCCCAGTATTGTTACTGACATTTTAGGTTTAATTTCTGTATGTGAGCAAAAGCCTGCTGTTTAGAGTTTTTCTTGGTGGTGTTTTTTTGTTTGTTTGTTTGTTTGTATTTTTAGTGACAGGAAAGTTTTGTGGTGGTGGTGGTAGTGGTGGTGGTGGTGGTGGTGGTAATGGGGCCTGAATTTGGGGCTAGTGGGTAGTCCCTTGAGCTCTTTCACCCAGCACTAGTGCTCTATCACTTTGAACCACAACTCCATTTCTGGTTTTCTAGTGGTTAACTGGAGATTAGAGTCTCACAGATTTTCCTGCCCAGGCTTGACTTGAATCACAATCTTCAGCTCTTAGCCACCAATGCCCGGCTGTGGTAGGAAAGTTTATTAGGAAAAGAAACACTGTCAACAGACTCATAGCAAGTTAACATTAGGATGAGCATGATAGTTATATATGTAACCTCTTTTATGTCTCTATTTCTTGTAACTTAATATGTAAAAGTATGTGTGCTGGGAAGGGAGCTAGTTTTAATGTTTTAGTGTCCTTACTTTAATGTCTAAGTCTGGTTCTTTTTTTTGGGGGGGGGGTCCAGTCATGGGGCCTGACTCTGGACCTGAGCGCTGTCCCTCAGCTCTTCAGCTCAAGGCTAGCGCTCTACCATTTGATCCCCAGCGCCACTTCCGGCTTTTTTCTTTTTGCTTATGTGGTGCTGAGGAATCGAACCCAGGGCCTCATGCATACAAGACAAGCGCTGTACCACTGAGCCACCTTCCAAGCCCATGAATCTGGTTCTTTTTATATTTATTTTAAATCTATGTCTATCTGTCTATCCTTTCTTATTCTCACTGTGTCTTACAGGTTGGAGGACAAGGTAGCTCTCTTAAATATTTGGATTTTGGAGCTTGGCTTACCCTGCTCCACATGCTGATCTCTAGCTCCAGTCACTTTAGTTCAAACAACATAATTTCCTTCTTGCTGGATAAATACTATTAATTACTTAAAAAACAAAACAGAACTTTCTTTTTCTTTTGGGGGGGGGTCTGGTCTTGGGGCCTGAACTCTGGGCCTGGGCTCTGTCTCTCAGTTCTTCAGCTCAAGGCTAGTGCTCTACCACTTGAGCCACAGCACCACTTCCAGCTTTTTTCTTTTTGCTTATGTGGTGCTGAGGAATTGAACCCAGGGCTTCATGCATGCAAGGCAAGAGCTCTACCACTGAGCCCCCTTCCCAGCCCGTGTTTTTTGTTTTTGTTGGTCATGAGGCTTGAACTCTGGGCCTGGACACTGTCCTTCAGCTTTTCAGCTCAAGACTAGCGCTCTACCACTTGAGCCACAGTGCCACGTCCAGTTTTTTGAGTGGCTTATAAGAGATGAGTCTCATGGACTTTCCTGCCCAGGCTGGCTTTGAACTGTGATCCTCAGATCTCAGCCTCCTGAGTATTTAGGATTATAGGCATGAGCCACTGGCACCCGGCCACAAAACTTTTTTTATTGTACTGGAATTTGCACTCACACTTGAGGCACACTCCTAGCCCTTCAGGATATCCCTTGAGGATATTTATGGTTTTTATTTTAGTAGCAAACCCCTGAAAACTATCTAAATGTCCTTCAGGTAGAAAATGGGTTGAATTATGATACATTCTCATCATAAAAAACTCAGAAATAAAAGTAAATTTACTTGATTTATATTTACAATATAGGTAGGTTGTCAGTGTATAAAGTGGTAAAAAAAGTGATTGTTAAGAACACAGCATTATTATTTTTATGTACATACACTATAATAACTGGTGTTTGTGTGCCTTTGGGGACAGAAAAGAGAGTAACAAAATTTCAACTATAACTGTTGATTTCATTTGAAATAAAGCAAATAATCTATTTTAATCTATGTCATTTTATGAAACATCACAAGTTGCATTTTGTCATTCATTAGAGGCTCAACTGAGTGAAAAAGTTTCACTTCAGGCAATCCAGCAGTTGGTGAGAAAATCATACCAGGCTCTGGCTTTGTGGAAACTGCTTTGTGAACATCAGTTTACCATCATTGTAGGAGAACTTCAAAAGGTAAAGTTCGTATATTTAGGATCATAAAGTTAATAGGTGATGTTTGTTGTTGCATGATTTAAATTTTATACTTTGGTTTGGGTAGTGCTTAGTTTATGATAAAAATTAGTACATTATAAAGAGTATACAAAAATGTGGTAATGTAGCCAAATGCCAGTGGCTCATGCCTGTAATCCTAGTTCCTGAGGAAACTGAATATCTAGAGGATAAAAGTTTGTAGACAATTGGGCAGGTAGTTCATGAGATTCTTAACTCCAATTACTCACCAAAAAGCCAAATGTGGAACTGTGGATTGAGTGATAAGAGTATTAGCCTTGAGCACATTAAGGGACAGTATGCGTGGGCCCTTAGTTCAAGCCCCAGTACCAGCACATACAACACACACACACACACACACACACACACACACACTAACTGCATTTTTTTAAAGGTATTGAATGGTTTGTTCATCAACTATATAATGAGGCATAAAGGGGCTTGTCTTACTTTTTAGTATGTAAAAGATAACTATGTTCAACCAGCCAAACTAGCTGAATTTATACTGTCATTTTAATATTTTCCATCAGATTGTAATCATTTTTCCTGTCTATTGACAATTATTTTTTTATTTATTTAGGGTGACAAAATGGTAATTTTCTAAACATGATTCCTTCAGCAGTTGTTAACTTCAATTCTTGAAAAATAAGTTTTCTATTTCTTCTAAAGTTGTTTGATTACGGTGAAATCTTGACTCTCTAGGTGCCATTTTTCAAAGTTAGAAAGTGATCTACAGTTCCTTTCACTAGCATGCAAGTAGCCTGGGGTTTTGTTGAGGGAAACTCCCTCTTCCCTTCTCCCTGCTCCTACTTCTAACCTTACCCCATGATCTACAACTTGAGCCATATCTACACTTCTGCCTTTTTACTGGTAAATTGTAGCTAAGAATCTCATATGCTTTCTTTTCTGGGCTGGCTTTGAACCACAATTCTCCTGAATAGACAGGATTGTAGGAATGAGCCATCAACACCCAGCTTTTTTTTTTTTTTAATGGAAATACTTTGAACCTCAGTTCCCAAATCTTAGCCTTCTGAGTAGCTAGGATTATAGGGGTGAGCTACCAGCTCCTGGCTTATTATTTTCTTTTTTATAGCAGTACTGGGGTTTTGAACCTAGGACCCTGTGCTTGCTAAGCAGGTCCTCTACCACTTGAATCATTGCCCCCAGCCAGTTTGATATTTTTAAGCAGAATTTTTTTTACCTTTTTGACAATTGAATCTATTATTTTTAGTTACAAAAATAATTTTCATTTCTATACCACATAATGTTCTTCAGTTTTGTTGTGTGGTAAACTTAATGTAAATAATGGTTTAGACTATGAATAATTTGTGATCCATCTTCAAAACGTTCTTTCCTTACCAGTTTATATTTTCAAGAGTTGCAGGTTAAATGTTTTTCAAAGATTTGATCATATTGTGGGTATTTTTGAAATTTAGAAAGATTATCAGTGCATTAAACAATATATTTTACTGTAGTGTAATCATCTTAATACATTGGAACTCCATTGTAGAAAGCCAAATTGCTCAAAATGAAGATCATACTCTATGTTAAAACCTTTCAAAAAGAATTATAACTTTATTTAGGAAAAATAAAAAAAATCAAGATTTACTTATTTGCAGTGTTTGGGTTCAAATACAGTCCTGCTACATGCTAAACAAATGCTCTAACATTTCCTTTCACCTCTAGCCCTATCTCATGATTTTTTTAGATGTAATGAAGGGATCGTATCTTCCTGGTTGTCACTAAAGTCATGTGATATGGCTTTATTTTTTTATTCAACCTGGCCTTGATAGAGTTAGAAGCTTGTACCATAGCTATGGTATGGGTTGATTTTATGCACGTTTGCAGAATTGCTTCTCTGATACCTTTTTTTAGTGGTGGGATTGAATTTAGGGTTCTACTAGTGAACCACACTTACTTTGTCCTTTAAATTACAAACCTATTTAGGTTTAGATTATTTTAAGTCATGCAAATTACTTCTGCATATAAATATACTATACTGATAATTTTATTTTTATTGTAAAGGTGATGTACAGAGAAGTTACAGTTACATAAGTCAGGTAATTAGTACTTTTTTTTTTTTGGTCTGTCATGAGGCTTGAACTTGGTCTGGGTGCTTTCCCTGAGCTCTTCAGCTCAAGGCTAGCGCTCTACCACTTGAGCCACAGTGCCACTTCTGGTTTTCTGGTGGTTTATTGGAGATAAG